TTCATCCAGCACCATTTAAAGGTCAAAAAAACATTGCCTTGGTGAAAACGGTTGCTAAATGTCAACATGTCAGCATTTTTTGAGCAAGTTAGCGTGCTGAAACTGCTCATTTTTCAAAGCTTAGACAGACTGCAGCTCCAGATTGTGTGTTTGTTTTACTAATGGATTTTCATTCCCTTTCTTTGGCAGAAAAGAGGTGCATAGAGAAGTTAAGTTTTGCGCAGAAAGCTAATCTCTCCTCCTATGGGGATAAAGCAACAAAATATCATATCTATGGTTAGATATTAATGTTTTGTAGATGTGACCTGCTATTTTAGCAGTTTTGGAAATGCTCAAAGTGAGCAATGAATTGCAATGAATATATGGGGTAAAGAGTTTATTTTGACCAACATGTTGAATAATTAACTTTTATCTTACTAGCACCATTTTTTTGGACCAATGTTGGATGTGATATGTTTCAGTTTTTGTTTGTTGAGGCTACTGCGCTTCACCAAGCAGAACCTTTCAGAGATGAAGTACAAAAAAAATCTGTGTATTCATGTCACACTGCTGGCCATCAAACCTACTGGGTGTAGGTTGCCTTTGCCTTTGCCGTTGCCATGGACACGGCAGAGTATTTTTTTTTTTGAGGAATCCAAAACTCTCATAGGAGAGAAAAACAATGGAGAGATAATTAGGTGGGGAGCGGCACTTTGGTAAACAGTTTTGATTGTTATGTGCAGAGATGCCCTTGGTAGAGACGTTGCTCATAATTTGTTTAATCAGATGTAAGCACTTATTGAACGGATTTCCTTTTAGCACACTACAGAACTCAAGATTAAACTAAACTCAAAACACACTTCTACCGACTATACCTTGAAAAGGTGGCAATTTAGTAGCACCTAAGATGACACCTACTTGTATCCCTTTGTAGTTTGGCTTTCTTGAAGAACTTTCTTGATACTTGTTGTTCCCGAAATGTAATGTATTGTAAAAGTAATGTAGTTTAAGTTTTAAACCTAAGCGTCATACTTTCAGCTCGAAGAAACTTACATTTTGCCCGACAAGTTAAAACCTGCCATTACAACTGAGCATTCAAATCTGTAATAGTAGCGTGGTTTGCTTTAAAGAGCACTTTTAAGTCTCTTGTAATAACAGATAATTAGATTGTCTGGTCTTTTTACTGCTGGTTGTGTCACAACCACGTCTCAGTTAGCAGGAGGTGTAAGCTGTATAAACCTGCACTGGCCAAATAATCACGTATACTTGAACATGTGCACCAGATGCAAACATCAGATGCAAACATTTCTAACAAAAGAGTGCCTGTTGTTAAGCATCAGAGTCATAGCGATCAGGCAGTCACAGTCACAACGCTCAGCAAAGTTTACAATAGCAAAACAAGACTTCGCTGAGAGTGTTGGGTGAGTGTGGCTTGAATGAGTGTTTGAGCATGAGGTGTGTGTAATCAGTGCAGTGCCATGCAGGTGTGTGTTGTAATCAATCCAGGGAGATGCATGATGGGAAATAATGTAGTGAAACGTCAATATTCAGGCGAAGGTTACGGAGTCTGTGTTTGTGACAGTGCCGCTCCCTGCCCTACGTCAAGACACACACCGCTCCATTCTTGCGCACTCTCAGCTTTAATTTAGTGTCATCGGCGGGAAAACAGATCATTATGTGCCATGAGGTGAAAAATGTTTTTCAGGTGTGGCACATTAATGCCGTCTCCACTATTTACATTTATGCTGATTGCCATTCGGATTGCTTGGACAATGGAAAACATATGATCGGGTGAATATTCCATTCTGAGATATTTCAGACAGACTAAATAAAAAGAAAATAAATGGTAGTCTATATTAGCAAATTGCATGTTCTTAAATATTTAAATAATATACATTTAATAAAATATGGGCTATGAGAATAGCATTGTTTCTTTCATATTCTAATAGTTAGCATTATTGGGAAGAGATATAGCGTTGTGGTAATAATGGTGCTTTTAGATGTACGTAGCCTTGTATCAACTCAGCCTCTCGGCAGGTGGATAAAAAGCACAGGTGAGTTGAGGAGGCGGCCAGGTTTCCCTTTGTTCTAAACTTGTTGGGACTACAAAAAGGACTCGGCATGTGTATGTGATGCTCTTCACTGACTCATTAGAAATTCTCAAGTTGGTTATAACTGAGTTTTAGGCCAGATCCAACCGTGCTTCAAAGAGATGGCCAAAAGCCACAATTTGAGTAATGTCATGTTTTTGTGTAACTACTCCACAGCTACATTTTTATTGCAGCCAGTCCAGATAATATATGTTTCAAGTACTTTAGATAATTGTGGATGACACATCCATGTCTGTCTTAGAAAATATTTTATTCCCAACATCTGGGTCTGTGTGTCTCGCTTTGACATTCTTTGAGAGTGACTTGTCCGCTGTAGCTGTGTATCAACCGTGCGTAACGATATAAAATACCATTGAACGTCTTTGCTTGAGGATTATTAAGCCTAACACAAGCATTGAAGTGGAAAGCTAAACGAAGACTGGTACTCCATAGAGTACTGCGTGTCAATCAAAGAAATTACATTTGCCGATTTTCTTTTCCACAGAAAATGTGCTGAACCAATTAAGAGCTGTCACCTTCATGCCAGACCAAAACTAAAAGCAGTTGATCAGGCCTGCATTAGTCTACAGTGTCACTGACTGCGATGAGATGTAAAAGTAATGAAACTGATCTTTCACCTGTCTGCATGTAACAAAGGATCAATTGTTACTTTAATGGCTGGTAACTGTTCAATACCTGTAATCAAGATTACATTTCTAGACAAATGTGCTTAATAGATTAAAGCTTAAAAAAATTAAGATTTTGTAAACTGAATTTGAAGGATTAATGCTGCTTTTGTGGGGGATACGTTGACTAGGAAAAGGTCATTGCATTGCTGTAGTCTAGTAAAAACCTGAAGAGAAAAGCACAAATCGTTCCGGATTGCTAAATTATGAATGCTGTCAGTGAGCCGGCAGTACTTGTGTTTTGCGTTGCATTAATAAAATGCATCTCGACCTGTGAAAAGATGAAACATTCAATGCAGAAATCAACAGATGGCTTATACTTGTCATCGGGAAGGGACACGATTCTATGCATTGCAAAGAAAAGATCCGATGCTGGCTTTAAGTAAAGCTTGGTGCTACTGTTGAGTCCGCGACTACAGGCTCAGCTGAACGACCAAGATATGTTGAAGAACCACAGGATGTCACTGTTTAACATTAATTAGCGAGCCTGTGACTGGTGAAACAGGAGATATAAAGTGTGTGTTCTGGGATATCAGGAGAAACCTGTCTTTTCTTTTTCACTCCCAACTGATTTTGCCAAAGGTCATCATCACTTATATTTTGATTCCGCATTAGTTGACATTTTAAGCTCGCTGTGTTACCTGAAGTTACATCAACATTTGCCATGCAGGTTATGTCACACACAAGAGCAGAATATAACTCTGATTTCAAAAACATAAATTCTTAACACGATTTAAAAAAGACACATGAAAAGGTGTCAACGTTTGCTGCCTGTGCTCTCACTAAGTAAATGCAAGATTTTTTTCAGGAGAAGTCCCTTTTTTATGGATTAAATCAAAAGCACCAAATAAAATAAGATTGTTAAGTGGACATAGGAAATAATTATTTTCTACTGTTATTTATCTGCAACAGCACATTTCCCACTGAAATCACCCAAAACACTGTCTCAGTCATAATCCTCATAGCATGCATATGTGTACAGGTGCACGTGTACTTCAGTGCATGCATCCTTAAAGATGTGCATGTGGTGTATATATGCACACGTATGCATGTCATTTGGCTGGGCTCCCCTTTCATACACGTCGGACACCTCACACTGCTACACTCACACACTGAAAAGCATTCCAGAGGCTGCATGCCTGCACCCCAACACACACACACACACACACACACACATACCACTGGACCCACTGCTAGAGTCACCCAAAGGGCACGTAAAGTGGTTTTACGACCAGAGGGCAACAGAGGGGAGCAGGACTCTCTAATGACAGTAAAAACAAAAGTAAGCCAGGGTGACTTCCAAAGTATTAGGTGACGTGGTGTTAATGAGGATTTTCCCTGACAAATGTCATTTTTGTCAAGTCATGTTTCTTATTTTTATTGAAATCAAAAGGTATTAAGTTCCTCCACGCTCTGTGTTACTTCAGGGCAAAGCCTCAGCTGCCTATGGTGTACAAAGTGCAAAACACTCTGTTCTGCCTCCCAGGAACATGCTGAGGTGTTGTAATGTTAGCTGTGATGTTAGCAAGCTTCGCTGCTAATGAAAAGGAGGGTGAGAGCACGAGGAGAGTGGGTGGTGTGAACCTTCAGTTATCAAAGTTGTTCCAGCCACCGAGGGTAAAAACGTCCGCCAGGACGAAAATAAGCGGCCGCAACTGATATTCAGCTGAAATCAATACCTGAATGATCTGAGAAAGTCACAGAATAACACATGCTTGATTTTATAGTTACCCGAAACTGAATGAAGGATCACATGACTAACATTTAGCAAATGTTTAAGAATTGCACTCTGTTGTTGTCCTGTCACCGGTTTATTTGACTCTATTTGACTTTAAAAAAACTTTTTAACTTAACTTAAGTGTAGTTGCACAAGTGTGTTGGTTTTGGCCCGTCCTGCACTCGTCCATCTGCCTCAAAGTTTGGTCTTATTTCCTATATCCCGTAAGAATTATCTTTGGCACATCTTTTTTTCTTCCTCCCTGTACATCCCTGACTTTGTTGTGCCAGAATAAATGCTTTGCCGTAACAGAGGATATTGCACATTAATTTGTTTGCATCGTGTTCATCATAGTCGGTTTAACCTTTTTATCACAAGCAGGTATGGTGCATATAAGGTGACTATTTTAAGTCTGATTCAAATGAATGTTTCTCAACATGGATTTGTATAAAATATATAAATAAAAGCTATGTAGACGACCGATTCAGATGCTTAAACCACACATACACACAACCAGGACCTGCTGCCTCAGTGTGTTATTTAAATATTTATTTTGACAGAAAAAAATGTTCCTCAAGATGATTATCAGTCATTATTATAAAGTATCTAAATACAGGCAACTGAGGTGTATCTGTCCTTCTACAGGTGGAGTCTGACAGAGCGAGAGAGAGGCAGAAAGCCTACAGAAGTAAGCTTGCACATAGAATGAGAGGAACAAACACGTGGAAACATCACAAGGCTGAACATGGAGGGTATCGTATACTGTCTGAAGAAGTGGTCCACATGATCATGGCACATAATTCACTAGTTGCAATAGAAAAGGCAAAGGCTTAGATAATATTGGACAATAAAGCTCCACAAAACCACGAATGCTAAACTGTGATCCACTAACATAATTCAACGTGGGGCAAAAATGCATGCAATGTTTTAAAATCCATTAGGTTCCAGGAAAGACTCAGTCCGCGGTTTAAAGTAGATAAACCCCTCGGAACATTCATTATCTAGTTGTCTGTCAATTGACTTTTGCTTTAATGTCTTGAAGAATCACACAATTCTCAAAATCAAACTGAGATGTTGCTACACTTTTTAACATAGTTTTTGCCAAGTTTAAGTTAAGAATATCAATACCAGTTATCTTTCTTATAAATAGTTACAACCAGATGGATAGCTTAGCATAAGGCCTGGAAACATGGGCCACGACTGGCTTGTCTCCGTCCAAAAGTAAGAGCAAATCTATCTCCATCCAAACCTAACCAATTAACATTATTTTGGTTTGTTTGATTGCAATTATAGTGATTATGATCATGATAGAAAGTATGGACAGTGGCTGACCATCTGCAGACTGTGGCATGTAGAGCATACACGTTGGCAGTGATCATAGTGACTTAGAAATACTGGAAAGTACATTAAGACAGGAAAAAGGGTCCGGTGTCGATTGTCAGCTCAATGATTCATGACCACCTATTATCTTAAAGGTAAAAATATCAAATTTGGTTTTATATGACATACTGTTAATGAACAGCAGCCGCCTTTCAGCTGCAGTAAAGTCACTATCATTAAATATAGTCCAGTATTGTTTAATATATGATTAGGGTTGTATACTCACTGGTCTATTCAGCAAATTCAGATTAATTATAATAATTGGTCTATTCTGGTTACACTTATTAACAAGGATTACACAACAGACGCAATGCAGAGGGCATCAGCGTGTAGATGAAGGCTGAAACCAGCTGAGGATTCATGTGAGGCCTACAGCTTAGTCCCACATACATTACAGTGGTAGATGTGTACGTGTGTGGATGGGCAGGGGGGTGTATTCATGTGCCAGTGGATTTAAGCACATCTTCTGTCCGCCCCTCTCTCGACAAGTACAGTATTTTGACTTAAAGACACTCACACTCACATTGGCAGAGTTGCAAACGATGAGTAAAACAAGGCAAAAATGGAGAAGAGAAAAACGAATCCAGTGAGTAGCAGAAGAATCAGGCTGATTGAATGAACTACAGTATCAGAGTAGGAGAGACAGCGCTCGCAACCCGTCCATGAGGCTACAGTCCACTGCTTTCCTCACAGGAAGTGCATACTGCAGTGTCAGTCCACCAGTCCTGTTCCAATCAGTAAAGAGCTGAGGGAAGCTTGCACTTCCCCGTGGCCCCTACGAGTGCTGCAACAGTCAGGTGTGGGGAGGGGGGGGGGCATACAGTGGGACAGGAACAACAATGTCAGAACTGTCCCCGTCTCAGAGGTCTGTGGATCACCACACACGGCAAATGTTGTCAGGCACCATGGGGCTGCTCTTGTTGCAGTTGAACGCTCTGGCAAATTCTGGGAAATTCTGGAGGGAGCCGAGAACTCTGTAAGACACACAGGGGGGTTGGTTGTTGGTTGTTGGTGAAGGGTTTAAGTTGCTGTTTTTTAAGGTAGCTTGTGTTTGAAATGTCATGTTGCTTTATCAGGGTTTAAAAGATGTGCTACATGTGTTAATTTACCTGAATATCCCTGGACTGTGTATATCTACTTTAGCGGAATTTACAGCCTGCTCTGGTCGATGTGTTCCACACCACACCTGAAATAACAGAGATTAGGATCAACCTCATCTGGACAATATAACTTACAATATACCGCATTGTCTCCAATCTTATATATCCTTCAGTCATCAAGCAAATCAATCAGTGATCAATAAATGCAACCATTTAGTCATAAACTACCTGAGCAAAGTTTAGGAAGAAGAGTTGATTGTGGGAGAGGTCAATGCCAGGCAGTGATGGCTCCTCTCCGTGCACCTTCACATAGTTCCTATAGGCCTGCAGGGTTAATATGAAACATCTTAAACAACTTTTTACAATTTTGGTTGGTATTTGTAGTCTGCACCAAATCATTGTATTTCCATTAATATCGACTTATTATAGAATTTACATGATTGGCTGTTGGGTGAATTGTTTGTGTGCCAAAAAATATTTGCCATTGGTGCATTGCTATAAACTGAAAGTTTTTGCGGAATCAGATCCACTGTTTAAATTAGTATGTGTGTGCTAGTTTGTGTCACTTTTTAAAATAGAAAGCAAGTGTGAAACTGTGATGATAAAACACTGGTACCTTGCCAGTAAAATCCTGTGATTCACAAATTAAATTAAATTTCCACTTTGCCTCAAATGGACAATATTGGACAATAGTTTAAATTAATAAATGTTTATTATCTCAAGATATTGATCAGTGAATGCCCGTTCTCTGTTTGCTTTCGTTAAAAAGCTGATGAAATCAACAGCAACACCATGATCTTCATTGTAGTGTCTAAAATAGATAATGAGCCTGTCAGTGACCAGGCAAAATTACCTATATTATAAATGTTAGCAAGCAGATGACAAAAACAAACCAAATAATTATTCACATCCTCTGTCAACTAAACAAGGCCAAAAACCAAGTTCACTTGTTTTCATGCTCAATACCTGATATGCCTGCCGTATCCCTCCATTGTCCGCAATGTTTTCCCCGAGGGTGTTGTTACCATTTAACTGGAGTGGAGACAGGAGGAGGGTTATGTCAGCAAATCATAGATATCGTTTTTTTGGGGGCAACAAGAAATCATTGTTAAAGGGGATGAATGGGGCATTGTTCAGCGCAATATGACCAAGGAAGAAAATGAGAGGGATTAATATGTCAACACAGAATATTAAAGGTGCGTGAAGCCGAGAAGAGATGAGTCTGCAAAAACTTGGGGTAGGATTTGGAGGGTTATAGGATACTTATGAGTAAATCTATTTTTTATGAAAACTTGTGGAAAGAGGAGGAGAGAGGTTTTTTCTATGAAGACGTACATGTAGTCCATTGGCCAGGTCCCAGGAGAAGTTTCCATACTGATTGACAATGCACTTTGACAGGTCCAGGAACCTGTTAGTGGATTCTGGTGTCCACCAGTCCTTCAGGTCACCGTCCTTATCATAGTTACGACCTAAGGAGAAAAAGCCATGAGCATAAAACGATGGCTTTTTGACGTTGCGATTGGGACACTTCTCTAAGCCCAACCACCATTGCCCTTAGATTTCTGGGTGGCTTGCAGTTATGGATGTCATCCTAAAATAATCTTGACATTTGAACATAATAACCGAACATAACCCAATGAAAAAAAAAGCATTGGAAAATGATCTGAGGCGACAAGAAATGGCCATTGAAAGGATTGATTGATTTCCGTGGTACCAGTATTATAAAAGTATTATACTTTGCCAAAACTGCCTGTGGGAGAAACTGAGAGCAAGACTGTTGAAAACCATACCATTGTCATCAAAGCCGTGTGTAATCTCGTGACCAATCACCATGCCGATGCCCCCATAGTTGAGAGATTTAGCCTGGCCTTTGCTGAAAAAAGGCGGCTGGAGGATACCTGCTGGGAAAACTGACACCAGGGAACAACAAAATAGGGTTTTCTCCACAGAACTTTACAAAATGTTTGCGTGTGCACAGGTGAAAATACCTATTTGGTTTTTGCTGGATGAGTAGAAGGCGTTGACAACAGCAGCTCCAGTTACCCACCTACAGAAGACAGAGACGATGGGATTTAAAGAATGGTAAATATACTATAGTTCAGCGTGATTCACGTTTGATATCAGAATTACCCTCGTAAGAGCGAGCTAATATTAGCATAGCCGCTGGGCTCGGACGAAGGCTGAACTGCATGAGTAGGAGTTAGTGTGGGAGAAAGCACCAAGCTAAATGCAAGGTGGTGTATTCTACCACAAGCACCGTAAGCTAATAAGTCATTTGTTTTTAAGGAAAGACACCTAATATTGGCTATTTAAATGACTACACAACCTTTATACGGCTGTTTACAGAGCAACAAGTTCATCCTGCTCCCAGATCGTCAATTAAATCTTACTCCTCCTTGTTGACTTTGACTCTGAGGTTCCGCAGGCGTTTTTTCTGCACATACTCCAGGTTCTTTAGGATGTTTTCAAAGTACTCCTCCGCACTGTAGTCCAGCTAGAACCAACACACAGCCAGAGAAACGGGACGATTAGTCTTGATGAGAGCTATCAACACTTGGTCATATGTTCTCCAGCAAAACTCATAAAAGCCAAGAATATACTGAGATGTTTTCACAGAGCTGATTCGCAGCTACGATGGAGCCGCTCCCTATTCTGTTACACTAATTCCGTGAAAAAAGCAAAAAAAATTCACAATCACGTCTTCTCACACACTCACATCTTTGTACTCTTTGTTAAGATATTCATCGTCGGTGATGTTGTCAGAATAGCCAATACGCTCCCGAATAGCTCGAGCCTACAGGAAAGTAGAGGAGACAGTTTGATAAGCAAACATCGTACTCATCACATATGAAATAAAGTACAATATATTAGAATGGACAGTTCATTATAACCAATACCTTCTCCTCAGCCGCTCTCTTGGTCTTTGCATCCATCCAGCTCAGGTCATCAAGGTTACTAATGAACACTTCCCGAATATCTTTGATCATCTCATCCATCTGGTGCCCACCCACACAAACCCAAATACAAAGACAGAATGAGATAACAATCATATGTTGTCAGAATAGTGTGGGAGATTTTCCTCCTTAAGGTCTGAAGGAAGGATCCAGAGGAAAGCGCGCGCGCGCACACACACACACACACACACACACACAAACACACACAAAACATTGCAACAGATTGTGCAACACAGTCAAAAAATAAGCTTCCCTGAACCGATCCTCAGCCTTTTTTTGTCACAATTTGCAGATTACATATTTAGGGTTAGACTCCCTTCGTGTAGAAGTCTATTATTAATGGTGGAGGGATTCCATCTAATGGCATTAGGACCGAAGAAAACAATGAGACATTTCTCCTGATTTGAGACTCAACTTTTTCATATTTTCTAAGATAGAAATAGAAACAAAATGAGAACATAATTTAATGTACCTTAACAGTGGAGATACATCCAGCAGTTTAGGGTTTACTTTTTGTTTTAAAGAAATTATCAAGAGCAGCATTAGCTTAATTTTTCAAGCAATATTAAAATCTTCTAGTTCATATACAAATTCACACATTGAGGCGCCCCAAAATAAACGTACTAAGATACTTTTTCAGAGGGAAGCCGCGGTGCAAGTTTCATGTTTATATAATGTACAGCTATTGAGTTACAGTATATACAAGAATGCGCCTACATACTGAGAGACAGACTGACGGACGCCACTGTGGTGGCATAATGCTGTCCCCACCATGAACTGAACCACGGCCCCATCTTGACCACAATCCAAATGAAAACAAAATTAGAAATAAATTCACGAAAAAAGTTTCGGCAGTTAAAGGAATAAAGCCAAATAAAAACTGCAGTGACGCGTAAGGTTGAGCTTCCAGATCCCTCGAAGTTGCTCTCTGAGACCGCAATGAGCTGACAGACAAATTAAAGTGCTCAAATGCAGCATTTATAATGCAATGAAAAGAATACTAAATCTGAATGTAGTATGATAGTTTGGAATCATCTTCCATTATGGGCAATAGTCCGCTGCCATTGCCATTGTGATTTAGTCCAAATAAAACAGTAAAATGTGCAGTGTAAATTTGATGGGTGGCAATCGCTATGTACTTTAATATTCAAAAGAGTTTCATCTTTAGGAAAAAAATATATTGTTAAAGCTGGAGACATTTGCAAGGATACTTCGGCTGCTTTCAGTGGGTGGAAACAGACAATTATAAACTGAGCTGGGGACACATGACTCAAATGGGACAAAAGTGTAAGACAGAAAAGCACATGCAACATCAAAAAATCATACTTGATTACTGCGTACAGCAAAAACTGAATGAACCGCTGATTCATTTTTTTGACTTAATAGCAGTTCCAAGTGTCAATAAACAGAACACAACATTCAATAATGCATTACACGTAATTCTCTCTGTCTAACAAATAACTATTATAGCTTTTTGTTTGGCATTATATGTAACCGAATAATTTAATACTATAATAAGTATTTCATTAAAGCATAATCCTCCACCTACTGACCAGTTCCTTGCTCTTTTCAGAGAAAGCCTCCTTCACATACAGTCGTCCCACAGCATTCTCCATGTTGTTGTTGACGTAAATTGCGCACTGTCGCCACACCGCCGCCTCTGACGTCGTACCGGACAAAGCCTGCCGGGAAGGTTACAATGCACCTATCAATTAGAAAGGTGGTGACCATTCTTTATCTGCACCTTCATGTAGCACTGCCATTACACTACAGTACTGTAAGAAACAGGATAGAAGGAACATTTCATCAAAAATATGAATGCAGTGGACGTTTAGTGCTTATGAGAGCCTAAAGGATACTGTATATGTTGCTCCAGGGATGGGAATGTCCACAAAACAATGATCCGGATTGAAGTAGCTTGACTACCGAATAGATCGTCACGGAGATACATTTGTTTACAGAGACAGGTAGATGAAGTGGTAGTGTACCTTGCGGAAGGCTTTCCTGGTGTCTCTGTAACTTCTACTCAGGCCGATCACCATGTTCATAGCAAAACGCCACACTAGGTAGTTCTGCAAATCCCTGCAAGGAGAGTATTGTAGAAGAAAGGGTTTTACTCTCGGAAAGCTTCATATATCAGTAATGTGACATTTTTACTTGCAGTGCACTCCCTCCCCCACAATCAGGCTGTCAAACACACACACACACACAAATATAGACTTGTACAAACACACACACACCTCTTGGTGTATTTGCCAATGATGAGGTTGAGTCGTCTGTAATAATTGGGGGAGTAGTTTATGACCTTCTCCGTGTCCGGGACGCTGATGTTGACTGTATCCATTATCTTAGCTGTAAAGTAACTCCAATTAAATACCTTCAAGTTCAAAAGCACAGACAAACAGGAAAAAAAACAGCGTTAGGACGAGAGGATTCAAACAAATAGCAACTTCTGACAGAGAGGAGTCTCTTTTTACCTTGGAGTCAACCTCAAGGGTGAAGTTGGCGTTCAGATCACCCAGCTCCATCTTGTTGTAAAGCAACACCGGGTTGTTGCGGTCCTCTGGAGTATCAGTCGCCTAAGAGGGAGTAAAAAATCTAGAATGTTGCCACAACATAACTCTCCCCGGTTTTCTGACACACGTATCATTGCAGCGTGATCCAGCAACAACAAACATATTTGGAGTCCCATGAGGACTCGGGTCTGTAAATGTCAGGGCACGAGCGGTGCGAGGACCTCGTAAAAGCCAGCAGCCGAGCTGAGGGGAAGCGGAGCGCGGCAGAGAGAGCAACACAGAAACCGGCACAGCGTGACAAACGTCCCGAGTGTGGAAACGTGTCGGTCTCTGAAAGAAGTTGATGTGTAGGCATTAAGCCGGTCATCGGCCTAGTTTTGCTCAGCAGACGCTCTAGACTAGAGCCACAAAAACATGCAGGGGAGACATTGGGTAACCAACGAAGGACTGGAAGGTCCTTCTGTCAGAAGTCATTGGCACTCAAAACCCTGCTGTTGTGTGAAGTTAAGAAAGAGGCTTACATTGGCGATGTCCGTCTCCAGGTCCATTACTCGTCTCACTTCATCTTTGATACGCGTTTCGTTGATGGCCAATCCCCGGTCCGAGCGGATCAGCTTTGCCAGGTCAATCATGAACTGCTCATATGCCCGACATGCCTGTCAAACACACAGTCATTCACAATGATCTTATCTGTAATTTATTGTAGCAGGAAGAAAAAAGGAGGTCACAAGTTTGAATTCAACCAATAACCGGAGAGCCCATGGAAATTGTAAAGTAAAACCAGAGCTGAGGGTCGTTTCCTCCAATCGTGCACATCTGGTCTGGATTGAGACACTAACAAAATATCTTTGGTCTTGCCTATTTGATTTCAATCGTCACCTACTGCCTCAGAGCACATTTGTGTTTATCCATACACACCTGCTTATATATGCATGGAAGCGAAGAAAAATAATCACAAACTTATGTCAGGTACTGATGTTTCAACTGATTTTTGGGGCATCAGGTTTACCTGGGGACCACCTCTACTCAATGCCACGGGCCCAAATGGACATGTTTCAATTTTATCATCGTTCCTCCTTAAGTAAAAACCCTTAGTTGTATTACCAAAAGTGTGCATGTGCATGTTTGTACACAATTACCCTACCTCTGCATAAGGTCCGGTGCAAGAGTAGAAGTCTCTGGACAAGAGGCCAAGGTTCGTCTGCTGGTCAAACTGGCAAAGAGGAAGACAAGAAAACATATGTATCTATATAGAAACATGGGATCCGAATGAACTGGTTCGTGTTAGTGTGTTTATGGTTGTGGGTCTATATACAATAGAGAGTGAAAGAGGGGAGGGCTTTCCGCTCCAGTTTCACACTTACATGAATGATGTATGAATTGGAGTTCCTGTCATCGGTGCTGATAAAAAAGTTAACCAAGAGTTGAGTTCCGTATTTCTCATTGAGCTTGGCCAAGACGTCTTCCAACGTCCATGTTGAGCCTGAGCGATGGAGAAGGAAGGAAGCGTGAGAAAAAAAGCGTTTTCTGTACGTATACAACCAGCGGTGTGTGAAATTTGAAAGCAATACTGCACCATAGTCTGTCTCCCAGTTGTCAACAGCAATGGGCCACTCAAACACAGAAGACAGCATATTGAGCAAAGGAGCCCCTCCTCTGAGCTCGATTAAACCTTACATGAAACGTGGATACAAACAAGCAAAAGTATGTTTTTAATAATGGATACATTTATTTTATGAAAATCAAAATTTAGTAATAAGAAAATAAATCACATCCATATATTGTACCTATTATCAAACGTTATTAACATGTTTAAATTCATGGCATTTGATGGGTTCATGGATGTCACCTCGAAGCTAAAGGTTTTTGAAGAAAGTATTTATTTGCATATGCGATAAAACTGAAATGCAATAATTATTCTAAAACTAATAATTGATCAATTGATAATTGATTGAATTCTAGTTACATATTGCAATGAATGGAATGAGACACAGAACCTTCAATAATTGTCTGAAAAATGTTTTTTTGACAGTAGAAGATGAAAATGAAAAGTCTGTTTTGAACTCACTCTCATTGGTGCAGGACTTATAAAGGGTCTTGGCTTTGGTGAGAGCAGCGCCTTCACCGTCCACTGTTTTTTCAAGGACACCTACAAATAGAGAGGAGAAACAGAGCAAGCAAGAAGGAATGAAATAAAGACAAAGACAGAATGAGGGTGAATCGGAACATTAACCAAAGAGGGGCGTGAGGACCTCAGGTGCATGATCTTTTCCTCATTTAGGTTGAGGAGATTTATCATGTTGTACTTTTTAGATACAACTGGCATTGCGAGGCCAATTAAACTCACCAAACCCAAACAATAAATGTTCTTATTACAAAGGTATTTTATGTTGACTGCTGCATGCCTTCCGGATCTCACCCTGGGGAGACAAGATAACGTGAATATATACTTTTCCTCTCGTTAAACTTTTGAGTTGTGTTTGAGTTGTATGAAACTATTCCTGAGAAAAGAGCGCTACCGATTCAGCTGAATTATTCAAAATGTCAATAAATGTTCAATAAATGCTTAAAGACATTTAAAGACAGAGTTTCTCACAGGGAGGTTAAAAAGATTTGATTCCACGCAACATTTTATTGTGAAATGACAACAATTGCGTTGAAGAACTGACTTAATTATTAAGGAATTGGTTGCAGAGCGATTGAAATTAGCATTTGAGTAGGTTTGATTATTTAGATCCTTTGTTGTGGAGGTCAACACTGTCAGATCGACCACAAATTGCAATATGCAATGCCTATTTTAATCCCCGGTTGCTATGAAATGAATTCCTAGAATGTAACCGAGGCGAGGTCAGTGACCTCAGAGCAGGGATGTCATAGCAAAGAAAATGAAGCTGGAGCAAAACCAGGGAGCAGCTACCCTGACGGTGCGGCAGTAAAAGCCCATTTGAAAACACCATTGCTTGCTTTATTTTGTTCACTGCCTCTTCAACACCTGTTGTGGGCATGAACCCCATTGGCTCCGCCTCAGGCTGGAGTTTCGCGGTAGACAGCTCATCAAAATGAGTGATAAGTGTGTAGTTTTACTCATCTGAGTGGGAGGAGAGTTGAACCAACAATACACTTTTCCTGCACTAAACCAAGGCACAACGTGGCTTATTTTAGCTGTAAAATGAATCATTCCCTGAGGACGTTGACGCTTTTCAGCAGCATCAAATCATCATTGAGATTCCGCCCACACGGTAATTTTGCATTTACCCAAAACCACCTTGGTGTATGAAAATGTTTTGTGTAGAAAGACAAGGTATTGTTTTTAAGTTATATTAACGTTACATTTATTCAAGGTCAGTAATTTGGCTCTTACTTACCTTAACTTAGATAACTTAGCCAACCATTTACCTTAATAAAATCTAGAATCTAAGTTTTTAACTTTGTTGGAAATAAAGTTATTAAATATACAACTAAAAATGCATAATGATAGGCATGAAATAGAAAATAAATGGAAATGGTTTTATATAGTGCGCGTAGCGAGACGCCCTGACGAGAGCGCAGCGTAGGGCGGCGAAGGGCTCGCCCCAAATCTCAATGTATTTTAGGACGCTGAAATTATAATGCCACTCATTAACTTTAACTATAAGCATATATTCTTAATTTACAAATATTAGCGGGTATATAATCCATATTTCAAACACACAAATATTTACTATTTGTATAATGTATTTTTCATATAATAAACAACAAAAAATATTTTTTGGTCGCTCATGGTCGGGCCATGTCCCGTTGCCCTCTATGGACCAGCCGCCACTGCTGCATTCACAAAGCTCTCACTTGATACCGACCACGTAGACTTGCCATTTAAAGCTGGGCAAACGATCTGTGCTTCCGTACCGTGCACAAATCCGTTATTGTGGCTTTTGATAAAGAATACAAAAACGTGGATTACGGTAAATTTACATTTGGCTTTCAGCTTGTCAGACAAGCTGTGACCCAATCACGAGAAGGTCAAAGCAAACCTGCCTGGAACTAATCCTGCCACCTTTTCAATAAAATGTGCCAAAATGATTTACGCCTATTTATTACAATCCTTCAAAGGCACGTGTGGTAGACATATGGAGGACGCAGACCACAGATACAGGCATAAGCCTCTAAGCTGTGGCCTCCTCTGGTTCTGAACGTGCTGATCTACATTGGGAGACACAGCATTTAAATATATGTGTGCATTTTATATACGTGACACACTGTGGTGGACCCACTAGCAAAGGCTCTTATGGGGCCATGCCTGTACCCATAGAATGTTCTATTAGTACATAACAATCCAGCCGCTCCTTTGCTTAGACAACCTTCAACAACCCATAAAGCTCACATGGCACCTCATGATTTTTTGGTGCAGAAACCAAAACACATAAAACAACATTTTGTTGTTTATTTTGTTGTCTTTTTTTTTACTAAATCACTCTCTTGTGCCGGCAGTTTATCAGCACTGACATTTTAATAGCGAAGGCCACTAGCATGTAAATTCATGGAACAACGTTTTGTTGTTTTATGGGGGGATATGTGCTGAACTATTTCTTGCCTTGCAACTTAATACATGCTTTGGGTTACTGGCCCCAACTAATAATTACTCCAGCACATATCACCCATAACATGGTGACCAGATCATACTGCTCAGGTTAAACAAACTCGTGAAATGTTGAGAGAGATTTTGTTTTGGTGTCATTACCTTTGACGATAAGAGTATTCCTAAAGATTATGAACATACATATCAGTACTAGAAGTACGACAACATTTTGGCTTTTACTAAACCGCACAACTCATGGTTTCAGTTCTTCTGTGCAAAGCAAACTCTTATCAGTGTTGCATCAGGATCAACTGATATACACCATCCAACAGCACATCTCACTGCAATGCCAAGATCAATACAGGGAAGACGATGGATACGGAGTCACGCAGCCAACTGTCCCCTGGGTCCATGACTCATGTCACAGTGAGGCTGGATCAAAACATAAAGTTATGACAACCCCGATCATAATAAAGACAGTGGGATAAAAAACAAAATAAAACAAGGTTTAGTGATTTCATTTAATGTCACATCAGATCATTTTGTCTTCACAACACCTCTAGTTGTTGCATAATTTATGAAATAGTCTAATTTAATTTAGCAGTCCCAGGATATTCCAAATGTAATTTGTAATACTTTTCAAATATTTGTATGTGCTAAGTGCTTTGAGACATTTCAGTCCCTTACGTCTTCTTGTCACTCATTATATTGCCCTGATTTTTTACTTATGCCTCTTTCTATCCTTTTTTTCTAATCCTTCTATTTTCTCATTAACATGCTTGCACTATTTATGTGCTCATTTATTCTTAATGAAGTTCTGAGATAGAGACCCTTCACAGGGCGCTTCCTGCAAAAGGGCACAGATCATGCGTGAATGATTGGATTACTGACTGCCTGGTGCTGATGTTTAACCACAGCAGAGGCTTAACCTCTGTCTCTCTCTCTCTCTCTCTCTCTCTCTCTCTCTCTCTCTCTCTCTCTCTCGCTCGTGTGTATGTGTTCGGATTTATTTGAGAACGAGTTTTGTGCCACTTTATGTTTGTTTGCAACGTAAGGTATATTTGATTTCCTTCTCTCTGCATCGTCATTTCCTCCTTGACCTCTAGTGACACATGGCATTCACTTGCCGTGTATTCTCTGCCTCTAATTGATCACGCAAAGCATACACTTCCGTATGTTCCATGCAGGAGCCTTAAATGATCTGCAACAGCAGAGCTGTTCTGTGTGAAAAAATATTTTCCTATAAATGCATATACATTTAGACATATTTCTTATTAAATGGGAACTTACTAGTTCAGTCCTACTTTGCTTGCAACTATGGTGTCAGCTAACATCATTACACCGGTTCCCAGAAACAGTTTTCCTTCTCGATAGTGTCCTGTTGCAGATACATAAGATCTCCGCACAAACCATACCAAGATTTTGGGTCGCTCCTCATCTACTATACACTGTATACCAATAATGCCTTTGTCTCAGTAGCATGTTTTCAGTTAAGGTATTTCCCCTTAGCGATTCTTACTGTAGATGATGGTTTGGATGCGAAACAACTAAAATGCCTGATCTTTACTCTGATTAGAGGTCCGTGCTCTTTCCTATTATCCTTCCTGGAAACAACCCATATTTAATTTAGGGTATGTTTTTCAATTTTTCTTTTGTTGGAAAAAAATTGCTGCATCAATAGTCATATTATTTAACTTGGCCACAAAGATCTGGGCTCCTATCCTTATTTGATATGTCCATGAAAATGCAGCCTTAACGGTGTTGTGCAATTGTTCTGCCTGGAATTTTGAAGGTCATGTGAACAAACCATTTATTGTGAGAAAATCCTATTGTAGTCTGCATTGTTTGATGAAAGTTCTATTTCAGTTATTGTTTTCACATGAAAAGCACAGACATTTCGTCTCTGACTGTTAGCTGCACAGCTCACATCTGAACACTTATCTTATCGTCACGACCGCCTCACAGGCATGCATCGATGCCTGAACCAAATTCAACAGGAAGCGTAAGCTGGCTCCTCTGTGCCAGGCCTCTGGCAAGAACCTTCTTCCTTTCAATCAGATTTAGACCCGAGACATAAGACACCTTGTGTAATACAGGAGAGACGCAGGGGCTCGCGCGCAGACGTGTGTCCCAATGTAAAGCTTAGCTCGGAGAATACTTCCACATGCTGTTCTCATTTTGTGACCAACCCTCAGCTTTTCTCACTATAATATCATCCTGCGGCTGCGGAGCTCTTCCTCACCTCCCCATAAAGAGTTTCTCACCAGTACTTTCCACTTTTCTTCCTCAGTCTCAAACTCTTGAACGAATCCCTTATTTCCCTCTTTCTATTGTCCGTGTAAGTCCTTAATTTCCTTCCCCACACAAACTAGTAACAGTAATTAAAATGCTCACGGTCAGTTGGGTAAATCATTGCACAGTATGCGACACCAGACACGGGGAGGTGGAAAAACATGCTCACGCGAGTGCGTACACATGCACACACAAAGCCGTGGTCCCCTCCAGTGTGCTGATTATGAATCATTTATGGCCTTTTACAGCAGCACAGAACCATCCGAGGCATTTACAAGCAACCACAAATCTACGCAGCCATTCATACTCATACACGTGCGCCACAGCCTACAGCGCTGCATCCAGGTGTTTCTAGGCCCCTGCAGCTGTTGACAGGAAAGCGGATCTGTCTGTCAGCGGGCGGTGGTATCCAAGCAGGTGGCTTCAGCCAGCCCCGAGGTCAGAGGTCGCATGTTTGATGTAACCTCCAAAGTAGAGGTCAAAAGTACTGAGGCCTCGCAAGTCATTAAGAAAGAGAGAAATCCTGCCAGCTAGTTCGTCGCGTTGCTACACAAGGAAATAGAATGTACACGTACACTTTAGCTAGAAGTATTGAGTAAGCTGGATACACAGCATGCCGGGGGGGTTTTGTCTCCGTGAAACACACACGTATCAAAACTCACTGAGTCAACCCGAGCAGGTGTGTATACAGTACAGTTAGAGGCATTCCAACTCTGACTGCAAAGCCAGACACCCTGAAGGAACGAGCACCACAACAACGTTCGGAGGGGAGTTTTAAGCTGTTGAATGATTGAGACCAGTTTGTTAGCTGCTCCATTCTTTTCTTTCTTTTCTGCAGTGAATGCAGAACTTAGATCACTTGAGTCAACGATTTTAAAACATCAACCTTCGCACTTTGTCCAATGTTACAATCATTTGTGGCAGAGGTGCATTTTTTATTTGTATTTCAGAGTTCGCAAATATCACATTGAGATCTCTGATATATCCGCCTGGTCGCAGTACAAATACAACGAAGTGTGAAATGACGCAACACACTTAAATAGAGGGATGTTATGTACATTATGTACATATCCACATGACAAAATGCCAAAAACGATCACAATTTCAGCAACGCTTATTTCTTTTTTTGCCTGTATATGTGATTTTTACGAGAGGAGATGAAAGCAGAACAGAACAGATGGGCTATAAGTTGATGGTAATGTATAATACATAAACAAATTAACACGCATGATTTTGCTCCCATTGTGGCCTACATGATTTTTTTTTTTGCAACATGCATACCAACATAATTTGTTTTAATTGCAATCTAAAGTGTTCTCTGAATCAAATGAAGCTCATTTTTAAACAATTGATTGAAGAAAGTTTCATTTGCGCCCCTTTTTAATTACACTCCTAGGTAATGAGGATGCATTTTTTCCACCCCAAGCGATCTCTACAGAAATAGTATACACTTTAATACTGACCGTTATGCACCACTTGTTAACCCTGACACATGTTATGTTGATACTGTAAAAAGGTTTATCAAGGATGTAAGGCCTCAGTACACAAAAGAAAATAGTTGGAACTTTATCATAACAGGGCTCTCCAATTCTGACCAATCACTGTAAACGACTTAATATGATTCATTTCTCATTTGGGCCATTGGCCCACAGCTTTGGCTTCATCTTGAAGGCCAAACTCCTGTCCCAAGACACAATGTTGTGTTTCTCCATCTAGATTAGAGCGATAACGTGCTTGTGGAACTCAATGTTCTGTGTCCACAAGACAGGCTGTACTTTAAACCCAGGTTTTTCCTTCCCATTAGGGATCCATCTTTTTCACCCCTCTAAATCACTCTCTTTTGCCGGCAGTATTATCTGCACTGTCATTTTATTAGTGAAGGCCACTTTCATAGCAATTGTAAATTCATGGAACTAGAAGAGTTTCAGTTGAACCCACTGCTCAAAACCCTACCAGCCTTCTCACCGATCTGGTCTGTGAGCATGAACCAATGGCGCAAACACACAAATCCACTAGCGCTCACACGTACACAGTGTAACTTGACCCACTCAAAATCTACCATGCCAAACAGTCACAAAAAATACTTGAATGCTCGCTAAAAGCTTGAATAATACATGAAAAACACACACATACAAACTTGCAATCAGGATGTTTTCCTCACGGCCCAGAAAACAGCCTGAAAGCAACACACGCACACACACTGATAATGACTGTTCTGTTGAACTCCCAAGGTATCCGTGACATCTACGGGGATCCAACTGTTTTCTGCCCTCTTCAAATGCAAGAGGACTTACTGGTCTAGCTTTAAAACTCTTAATCATGGACTAAATACAGTAACAATACTCACAAATAAGTACCCCTGCCCGTCTGTGTCACAGCCTTTCTGTAATGTGGATCTTGATTTGTTTGTGTGGGCGTGCGTGTGAGAAGGGCTCTGACCTTTGAGAATGACCTCCAGCTCGTCTCTTAGGATGTCAAAGGTGCTGTATCTGGAGCTGGTCTCAGGGATGATGTTCTTTTTCATCCAGCCCCCACAGGCGTACTGGTAGAAGTTGTCACACGGCTCCACGCTGGCATCCATGTTCGCAATGAGGCGAGAGGCTGCAAAGACAAAAAGGACACAATCACTGGGAACCAGTGTGCACGTGAACTGTCCTCTCATCAATTTTATGGACAACTACATAGACCGTTTGTAGACTCTACGTCAGAGATGTCCACCATTTTATTATTTAATAGTTGGGAAACATGCCTTTTAGTTTTATTTTGAAGGGTTCAGTATGAAACTACCCCCAATTGCCAGTTAGCTTGGCTGACTATAAACACTGGAAGCACAAGGTCAGCGAACAAGCTTTCCCTTAGGTACCAAAATCCTCCTAAAAGCAACTGCAACTGATGTTAGAGTGGAGTCAACTTTCTCATTTGCAAATGCAGCAAACACTATGCAGATTACAGAGCACTTCAATGTGCCATGTGCTAAATGTATTATGCTCTTCTTTTACCAAGGAATGTTTACCCCAAAACACATTTCGAAAATGTAAATAACTAACAAAACTATAATTTATTATATTATTACTATTATTGTATTATAATAATGACTATTGTATTGCTATAATACTATTATTATAGTATTATAATTATCAATTATCACCAGTGAAAAAAACATTTATACGCTGCTATTTGCAAACATACATTTTGAGATGCAACTTGGCAGCTGACAGATCTGTCAGTCAAATCAGATCATATTGGGAAGTTGGTTTCCAAAAATGGTCATTTGTCTGAAACCAGAGAAAGAACTATATATGTTTACTTCGGGAGTGTGATTCATGAAAGAACAACTGCTGCTTCACGAACAATGTGAACAGCATTACTGGACTCATCTGGTCAAGGAGCGCTGAGAGTTTTATGAGCTTAGATGTGTTGAAATATTGTAGTTTTGGACAAACGTACGCATAAAAGCTGTAGATTCGCATTACCAGTTTCTCAACTTCTTCTGTAAAGTTGTTGATCTGAGAACAACAAAGCTTTGCAACATGTTTCTGCTAGTCAGTATGCTCTTGTTTAGACTTTTCTTTGTCTGAAATTCCCTGGGTCTCTGCAGCAATCTACTTTCTTGCAAACCGCCCCCCTTCTGAGAGAAAGCAAAGCCCTCAGAATAAGACAATGAAGACAACATACGAGATAACACAAACACAAACGGACACAATGCTCACCAGACTGCGTGCAGTCAGCTGACGTGCAGATTTCACCTGTTGAAAAAATGCCAGAAAATGCGTTATACAGTGGGGTTTTTGCACTGATCCTTCATCGTGTCACACGCTCCTTCTCGCTCATCACATCCCTCTCACCATGGCCTTTTACTGTATTATATTCCTAAGTGCGGCTTCCATTCTCTCAGGAACTAAAGTGCTAAGCTGTTAATCAAATTCAGTCTGACAAATAATGACACACACACAAACACCACTGAGCTGACATATTTTAGCATGAATACATGCCATGTGTTACGTGTGAATGCACACACAGTTGAGTGCACACAGGTACAAACATGTCATTAAACATTCTCATTTTCCTGACAAGGCAGGTTACACATTTATTAATCACGAGATTAAACACACACACAAATATGACAACTCATTTTGTATGTATAATGAGATTTAATGTGGTTTCTGACGGGTTTTTGACATGCTGAACTTTGTGGTTGTTCCTTTTGTCATTAATGAAAATGCAGATCTATTAATAAGCGGTTTAACTATCCATGTTCTCGTTAGACAAGTAGCTTTTCTTGTACCAGATCACAGATATCTATTAGCGTTGATTTACTAATGATTAATGCATCTTCAGTTACATAAAGAAGGGTTGGTGTCAGTAAAGGTTTAATGAAGTAGCAAAGACAGGATATTAAAAATGAAAAAACATGCGATCATATTGTGAATTTCATCTGAAAGAAGCAGTTTCAATTGGTTTCCCATATTGTAGAGAGATTGGTGGGGCTGTTTGTTTAATATCTCGGTGTCCATTTTTAAATGATCCATTTGAAAAGATATTAGATGTATTTTTTGTTGTAATATATACAAACGCCTAAATTATGATTAAGCTCAATGTATTGAGGTGGACGTGGTTCTTTGAAAATACCTGAGAACAGAAAGGAAAGTGTAAAAAGGACCTTTGCACACTGCATTCTTCTTTCTGGCTCAGTGGTTGTACTTTTGCACTTAGCTCTAAAAGCACAGAGCTCGAGTGTCTTCTACTCATCTGAACAAAATACTGCTATCAAGCACGCTCCTTCTTGCTTGCCATTAACCACAAAGTCACCTAGAATTGAACTTCAGAGTTGTAAAAGGCTTATTAAATATTGTGGTGACAAAGAAAATGAAAGAGAACATCTTCTAAGCTGAACCCTCCACACGTAAAGGCTTTTGATTGCATGACATCAATGTTTTGTTCACTACACTTTTCTCTGAAATGGGTCTGTTTATCCAGGATCCAGGATTCGGGTTCACATATGAAAAACTCACCACTCTTCTGTGTGGCAAAGAGGATGATGAGGGCGACGATGACGATGAAGAGCAAGGAGACAATGGTAATGAGGCCGACCTCCAGGGAGCTCCAGCGGAGCTTCTTGGCTGACTTGGGGGGGTTGGTCTCTGTCATTTTCAGGTGTCCTCCTTCAGCTGCCAGCTGTTTCAACTCACCTGAGAGAGGGAGAACCCGCAGAGCTGCAGAAAACACGTTCCGGTCGCAGCGTCTTAACTGGGAGAATGTGCTGCTTCTCCAGTGCATTTAATTGTAAACTGAGTATTTTGTCAGTGGGGCTTGAATGTATGTCGGACAAAACAAGCTATTTGAAGATTCCCCCATCAGCTCCAAAATGACAATTAAAACAGTCATTGGTTGCAGCCCTAAACAGAACTAAAGAAGAGTAACTCACACTGATAACATTGGTGTTTGGTGAAAAAATGAAAACAATTTTTTTTTTTTTTTTACATGAGCCAAACATGAACTTAAGAATTTCTTAATACTAATGTTATTCCTTTTGCAACATGCTATTTTTCAATTCAAATATATATTAACTCAAATGTTGAGCTCAATCTCTGTACTTTTTAGACAAAAGCTAAAAAAAGGAAAACCCAAAGAGTGAAAGTGAGATAACAGACACCTGGCAGTGAAAAAACAGAAAATTATCTAACAAAATAAAAAAGCAAAGGCAGTGTTTTTTTTAACCTCTATTGGATCAAAAGGCGAGAACAGGTTCTTACCCTCAGCACACACCCTCCAGACAAAAACAAGCAACACACACTTCTGAAGAACGGAAAACAAGCGAGACCTTCCCTTTGCTCCTCACTGTTGTTTTCCTCTCTGGGGCCAAGTGAGGACTTTACAAAGTCTGTGTAACAAGCAGTTAAGTCTATCTTTGAAGGCAATTAATCCTTAATCCTTCACTGAAGGCACACACACGCGCACACACACACTTGTGCAATTACGGCACACACACACACACATCAGTTCTCACACACGCAGTTTTACAGGCGGGTGTCATGAGGCATCTGTCCAGATGGGAGGGTCTTCTCTGTGTGCTGGCTGAGATGAGAGCGCCGCCTGAGGACAAAGTCTCTTAGCTTCCTTTGAATAAGTGCACGGCAAACCGACACACACCGTCACCTACGGCAATAACCACAGGCCTGCTGAGTGTCACATCCCCCTGTCATTGTTCTTTGTGACTACACAATGACCAGCGTAAAGCAAACTACAGTCACTGCTCAGGCTTGTCATTGACATTTACTGTTCACACGCCAAAAGGCTGCTTTCCCAAATCCACGCCAGCCCTGTACGGGCGAAAGGCCCGCGTAAAGGCAACTAAAAATATGAGCAAAAAATGAATGCCTAAAAATAGGAGGCTGCGCGTTAATCCAAACTTTCTGTCAACTGTCCTGTGGTTGGCTGAATCAAGGGGGCAGACACAAACATTTCACGGGGACAGCACTCCCACCATTCTAATAAAACAATTTATGCGTGTAAGCATTGAAGAGGCTGTGTGTCGTGTTCATTTGCGCTGATCGCTGACTAGTTCCATGCCGAGAAATACAAATGTCTCCGAAATTCAGGGACCACCAAAAGGGACATAAACACGCAGTAGAGGTATGTGCAAAAAGGAGGGTGGGGGGGGGGGGGGATGTGGAAACAGAGATGGACACTGGACACTGAAAGGTCCTAAATCATCTTGTAAGTGAGTTGAGGGCATGTTAGATATGAATCTAAATGAGCTCTAACTGTACATGCACTCGTCACCCTCCCATAACGCTTTCTGCCCTCTTGATGTGAATTGCGCAGTTAAAGTCAGGTAATTCCAGTAAGCTCTCAATATGGCTTCCGGGTGGATTCAGGAACCTGTTAGTATGACCATGGCACGGATACCTCTAAGGATGTTTGCTCAATGAGCGAAGAAGGCCTGATATGAGTGTGAGTTATTTGTAAGGTGAGCTGTTATTGCTTTGTAATGTGACTGCTCCTGTTGCAGGGCGCAGGCACTACTTATACTTTTCTTCATGTGTATCGGATGATTTAAGGCATGTGTAAAAACTCTCTCTCCTGACATGACATATCTGAAACATAAAAAGTCCCCGTGTCTTGTGAGACCTCCCAAACCCCTTCAAAATGAAAGCCATAACTCACTGAGATGCCTGAGAAAATGTCTGTCTGTCTGATGTCTGTCAGTACACACAGACACACACACACACAAGTACACGCAAGACTACTTGTGCAAAGGGACTTTTTAACAATCTATATCTCTGCACTTAACTGAGTTTGAATAGGAATATGACCTACTTTAACTTAAAATAACACCTTCTCTCGGAGGTGCTTTTCAGCACTGGGCTCAGCTGCACACACAAGAGCAAAATCAATTTAAAATCCATTGTGCATGGGGGGAGAGGGGGGGCTGCTGGTGGCACTTGATGCCCAAAGGTGAGCTGTGATCTAGCTGTGATGAAGTCCAAACCCCAGCTGTGATTCAGTCGATTGCGACGTTTTCCGCGACAGAATGCAACGCGTGTTAAAAATACAGTGAGAACAGTAATTGGCTGCAGCAACCAACGTTAGATCCCCGCCAGAAACCTCATCTCCTGTTGCACGCCCGGAATGCCAACCGGGTGGCATGATCAACTGGTGTCTGCTGCCGCGCGTCGCTCAGCTGACACGCGAAGATAACGCACTCGCGCTCGCCGCGCGCGTACGCTCACACACGGACTCACGCGGATGGCACCGCGTTATAGAAGAAGAAGTGCCCGGGGAGAGTGAGCGACTTACCAGATGTGTCGGGGTGTTTTCGGTCGATGATATAAACGGGCATCACATCCACTGATCCATCATATCAGAAAAAAAAGAAGAAAAAAAAAGCGGGTGCCAAGTGCGGGTCGATCTCTTAACAATTATTATTTTTTCCTTCAACCTCGATTTTCACAAAGATCCACAACCGATCTCGCCTGCCTCCCCCCCACCCCCCACCCCCCCCGCCGTCCCCCACCCTCAACACCCTCCCTTATTCTTTCTTTTGGCTTTATATTACTAGCCCACGCTGACGCATGGACCCTTCTCCAAAACTGCCTACCCGCGGAGGATCGCTGGACTCAAATGGCCCATCAGACTCGTGCGCGGTGCGTTTGGTCAAGTGTCTGATCCACAGGGGCGAGATCGCATATTTATACGGCCGGTGACATACAGCGAGGCAGTGGAGCAGCCCTCCGAAGTTGCGAGTCGTTGCCTCCTCCGTCGGGGCGGCGTTTAGGAGTGACCCGGTTAGCGGCGCACCGGGCGCACGTTCAGGTGAAGAGCGCGACGGAGCGACGAGTTGTTTCTCTAGGAGCGGCTTTCTCAAAAGCGATGCACCTCACGGATATTTAAGGGCACACGGCAAAATCCCTGTTTGAAGATACTTGACATGAGCATAGTGAGTTTATGTCTTTTCTAATGGTAATGATTGAAAAACGTAATTTTAACGTAAGGTTTGTTTTTGACAGCATTTTTTAATACAACCGTTTCCTTAGTAGCAAAGTTTCACCAAGTTTAGGTCCACAAAGTGCAAGATAGTACTGATGGTCACCTGAAGGTCCTTGGACTCCACTTTGGGAAGCACTCATATGATTGATACATAGAAACACACTTTAGCAAAAATGAAACATGGTACATAGGCCTATAATAAAACAGAATCATATCACTTACAACATGAATCGTTAAAGTTGTGATTGAGGCAGATGTTTCACTGTCAGTGCTGCAAAGACTCATGATCAGTGCGTTACAATTTTAAAGATTCAAAGTAACCAGTTAAGTTTGGAGAACAACATTAAATCCTTATTGCCATGTTTGGAAAAATGATCCATGGTTATACAAAGTATTAACTTCATTATAGGATGCTATGATTATAAAATCTAAACTACAGACACCTAAACGTGCTCTACTTTGACGTGCAAATCAGCAGAGATTACGGGTTCCTTTACTGGTGTCCACAGGTCCTCACACAGAGATTTGACTCAATACTCCTAACGTCTATTCCTATAACCACTATTCAATGACCTCTGTGGAAAATGTCAGATGGTTAGGAGAATTCATGAGGAAACTCCATTTTCTCCGAAGATAGACTAAAAAGAAACATCTTGCCTTGGTCCATGTGTTGTTACATGCAGACGACATAAAGAACCAGGTTCAAAGTATTATTTCACTCACAAGGTTGCAATATGAATGAGTTGACGGTTACTTACATGATCCCTGTTTTTCGGTCATGTTGTAAACGGCCGAATGATTCGTCACTATGTAAATATTTCTGCCGCAAGAAACTCTGGGAGGGAATTATCTCCTTTCCTTTGGTGAAGACTGGTCCAGTTGTTCTGGAGCAAAGTAAGGAAGCATTGAAGTTTCACAGTGTTTGGAGAATTCAAACAGCTCTTATCACGGCGGCCACTCACACTACTTCTGGGTCATTTCACTCTTCAAAGATTCCTTCGCTGGGCAAAGGAATCTTCCCAAGCCAATTTAACAATTTTAATCCAGCCGGAGGCTGTTACCATCCCTGTAAAATGTACTTTATTCTGCTTAAGTAAATACCTTCTGGCTATGTGTCTTTGTTACAATTAAACTCCAATGGGTCATGTGCACAGTAGCGTTCTGTTGGCGGTTAAATGATGAACATCAACAGTCATAGTCGTCCCTTCTGTGAGAAGAAAGAAAAGCCTACAACGCATAAGAGGATAAAATATAGGAGTCATGCGTTCACCCCACACAATTCATGTGGCCTTTAAACCTCACATGCTCTTCTGTGAAACCCCTGTGATCATATTTTCCATCATTCCATAGCTCTTCAAATAAACCCTTCACCCGTTTTCTGTTACTATTTGATCTCTGTTTGTTGTCAGTAAACCCAGCGGGTTGTGAATTCCTGGAGCGTATTGGATTTAATTGCGCTGAACCCGGGGTGACACAGGTAATAAACAGTTTGCTGCAAAATAGGCATGCATGTGCAAATACAGATAAACAAGGCTTGCATGCACCCTTCATTATGTTGTATTTCTTAATTAACACGGCCAGTGCCAAACAAAGCCGTGAGCCCTTATCAAGCAACACGTTGCGTCAGAAACATTTTGAGGCAAACCATAGCACTTGGACCAGGGAGAGGTGTACCTTTTTTATGAGCACGGACATGTGTTTACTCTAGATATGATGTCATAGTTACAACTGACATACCTTGTGGTTTTGCTATTGATTAACATCAACTGTTCCCGACCACGCTTAGACCAAAAAACGGGTATTGCGAGGGAACAAGCACGATGACTAGTAAGCACTTCCCATTGCTGTGAATCACACCAGCCAGGGTGTCACAAGTCACTACAGGTTATTTTTTTTGGTCGGGCTTTTTGCACGGATCAGGGTCCCTCAGACGACTTGTTTCTATCACCGCCCCCCCCCCCCCCCCCCAACAGGAACTGTCAGGGGAGTAACTGTCCTATCAACAACAGGAGGGCTGTCCAGGTCTTTTCAGAGACTCAGTTCACATAAACACTCGCGTTCGCACAGAATACAGCACCAACGCTCAGAGGCACACAAACGTAGGCACACCGGCGAGGACCACACGTACTACACACACATCAATAAGCTCACTGCTGCCCCTCAAAGAGAGGGACTTTCAGACAGATGTTTCAGCAGGCTATGACGCAGCAAGAAGAGGAACAAATAGGACGAAGAGTCAGAAAATGTGAGGAAAATGTCTAAAATTCCCAACTTACCCAATATTTCCATGACGCACAGGCGGCGGGAGATCTAATTTCTATTATAGAAATATTTATAGGACTGGAACAGACAGCTCAGGAGTTTGTTTTTTATTTTTGTGTTTCCTTATTCTATATCAATGAGGAAATGAATGAAGGGAAATTATGAAAAGGAAAAATTATTAATATAAAGGTATCTTGTTGTTTTTGATACTGGTATTACTGCTCTTTACAACCTGTTCAGATATTAATTGTCCCGACCAAATAGCATGCTTCCCCTTGTGTGTTAACTTGCGTCATTGCTTTTTATGATTATCAGCTGTCACAAATAAAACCCTTATTAGAGAGACATTTCCTCTGAACACTATATTCCTCACCTGCTCACACTTGCTTTGCCCCAGGGAGTTAATATCTGTCAGTATCTGGTTACATAGGAATGACGAGGTACTAACACTGATCAGATAAACCTCCAGGAACATCCGTAATTCATTAAAAGAAATGTGATGGACACGTTTTGAGACTCAATAAACACATAAATGAGTGCGCTCTCATCGTGCTCATTATGCTTTTAAACACATGTCTGTTCTGCTTTTATCTCATGTAGGTCCAAACATGTTGGATTTGTTAAGCTGGCAAGGAGAATGGAGATATTCAGCATCAACTTTTCATAGTCTGCGTGTCCAACCCAAAAATGTACACTTTGAAACAATATTTAATTTAATTTATTTTTTTAACAGATTACAAAGTGGAAAGTGTTGCCTGTAGCGGTGAACATACAGAGATCAGCTTTAGATCTACAGCCATTAGTAATTTAGTGCATCTTCTCAGTACTTTGGACGACCTGATTTTCAGCCTCAGCAGGGAGCTGT